AGGAAAACTAAGAATGAGCTGGCCAAACCGATTACCCGAAAACAACAGCTCGAGCCCAAAAATGGCCAAACATCCATACGACACATCATGATCAAAGAATGGGTCACATGCACTCACGAGCTCATTTCGCGTCTCCATCCTCCTTCCTTACCCTTCAATTAAGGGGACAGATACCATGACATAGATACGACACAACCCTCCCCCAAGTTTTTCACACATCTATCGGGTCACCCATCGCCATCTTCATGCTCGAACTCATTATTGAGCTGTTCCCACTCAATTCACGGGCCATCTCTATTCCTCCCCCTTTGGCACCTAACGATGCCCTCGATGTTTCACCTTTGATTCTTCCAACTGAAAGGTTATTTATATGCTCTTGCTTATGCTACTCAATAGCCATGATTAGGCTAAGTAGTTAGTTAGGTAGGTGGCAAGTGGATGATATTGATGACCCGTTCACGTTGGACCCACCTCGGTTATCTCGCATAATGTTGCTTATCATACGTGCACAGACCTAATTACATCTAGGGAAAAATTATCAAAAAAATCCTAAATCTTTTGCAATTGTGCCAATTCAGTCCTAAACCTTTTTTTTTTGGTCAATTCAGTCCTAAACCTTTTGCAATTGTGCCAATTCAGTCCTAAACCTTTTTTTTTTGGCCAATTCAGTCCTAAACCTTTTGCAATTGTGCCAATTTAGTCCATCCGGCCACTTTTGGCCGGCCGGCGCTGACGTGGCCGCCGGGCGGCTGACGTGGCGCCGGCCGGCGTCCACGTGGCAATATTTTAATATTTTTTTTATTTTCGAATTTTTTTTTCCTTTTTTCTTTTTTTTTTCTTTTCCTTCTCCCCACTGGCCTGTCTGGCCGGGGGGGGAGGCTCACTGGCGAGGGTCCAGCTCCGGCGAGGCGAGATGGGCCCTCGCCGCCTCGGGCGAGCTCCGCCTCGCCCCGGATCCGGCGAGGCGGAGCTCGCCCGGCTCCGGCGAGGCGAAGCTCGCCTTGGCCGGGCGAGCTCCACCTCGCCCGTATCCGGCGAGGCGGAGCTCGCCCGGCGCGTGAGGGCCCGGCTCGCCTCGCCGGAGCCGGGCCCTCGCGGCGAGCCTCCCGGCCGAACAGGCCGGGGGAGAAGGAAAAGAAAAAAAAAGAAAAAAGGAAAAAAATTCGAAAATAAAAAATTATTAAAATATTGCCACGTGGACGCGGCCGGCGCCACGCTCAGCCGCCCGGCGGCCACGCCGCCAGTAGGCCGGCCAAAAGTGGCCGATGGGATCGAATTGGCACAATTGCAAAAGGTTTAACTCGAATCAAGAAAAAAAAAAAAGGTTTATGACTGAATTGGCACAATTACAAAAGGTTTAGGACTTTTTTGGTAATTTTCCCTTACATCTAGCATGTCATTTTTCTTCCTTTGCTTTCCTTTTCTTGTGTGAGAATATGATCGTGCTGTTATAGACATCATACCTCTGTCGAAAAGGCAGTATTCTCACGGGAAAGTATGAAACCTCGGACAAACGATTGCCAAGGCGCCAAAGGTTTTAGTGCTTTTCGAGGTAATTTTTTTTCTACTTTTCGAGGTAACTTAATATTATGCAGGAATAGGGAATTTTTTAAGGAGGTCAGTCAATTTTAGGCTTCCTATAATGCTGACGCAGTACTTACCCTTGATTCTTGCTTAGCTTTACCATGCCCCTGTCAACATAGCACGAGTAATCTATAAGTAAAAAAAAAAAATGGAAAATATTTAACAAAGGAAGAAAAGGTGTGGTGTGAATTGCTTTTAAAAATGAATTTAAGTCGTTGGACAATATAAATATCTAATTAATTATAGTATTAACGAGAGATTTATAAAATAAGACGAGAGTCGTTTCAGCTTTGGTAATTTCAAATTACTACGTATAAGCAAATTGATCGAGTGTGCTTATCCTATCAGTTAATCAGACGATGCTAAATAAAAGAACAAGGACCCAATTCCCGTCCCGCTCACCGCTTTTCGGACGACCTGATTAATCAAGATTTGCTAGGAAGAGGCGTCGAATTCGGAACTTGCCCTCGGAGGTACAAAAGTTTTGCAATTTCACCCCTTTATTTGCGGTGAGACTCCTACCAAAGCACCGAGCTAAATAGATAACTGAGCAAAAAACAAAAGCTTACCAAGGCCGGTTGCTAACCAAGCAAAACAAAAGCCAAGCACGAACTGGGGATGATTCCTAAAATCTACTCTATAGAAACGGGACAGCATCTTCGCCCAACACACTTTATACAGAATAATAGAGATGGTACGTTGAACATGCACTCCCAATGTCACGTGATTGCCTGTTTGAGTTCGTTCTTACCAATGTCACCTTCAAAAAGCATTGACCCCTCACGTGATCCATGTTCTCTGCTTTACTCATTGTTATCTTCAGGGAAAATTGTCCAAAAAGTCTCAAACTTATTATATAGAGGTCAATTTAGTCATAAATATTTCAATTGTGTCAATTTAATCTTAAATCTTTTGATGCCGATTTAATCATAAATCTTTCGATTGTGTCAATTTAGTCGTAAATCTTTTGATGAATTGTCAATATAGTCCTAAACCTTTGGATGATTTGTCAATATAATCTTTTCGACCAAATATCCAAATAATAGGTTTAGGACTAAATCAGCAAATCTTCGAAAAGTTACGACTAAATTGATACAAAGGAAAAGTTTAAGGTTAAATTTGCAAATCGTCAAGAGGTACGGAATTAAATTGGTACAATTAAAAGGTTTATATCTGAAGTAACTACCATACAATAGGTTTTATGACTTTTTGGATAATTATCCCGTTATCTCTATATACCGTAGTTTCTACGGTCTCGATGGATCAACCCGTTATCGCTGCACATCCAAATGTATTGTATCAATGTCTTAACATACAGACACCCAGAAGATCTCCAACAAAAGATTGAGATCACGTGCGAGAAACGATAGCTCGTGAGATCGCAAGACCCTTCTGTATACATAGTCCCGATATTTACTCCTCAAATCCACTTATTACTTAAAAAAAAAAACCGTTGATTGATCTCTCAACATAGGAGTACAATCACTCAAGAGCAAAAGGGCTCGATATAATCCCCCTTCCCACAAAATATGAGAACACTCGCCGTATGACTTGAGGTTATACACGCACCCTCGTATAATAAAGAGAGAATATACTTGAAAAGTACCCAATGATTTGTCAATCACTCGAGGTGATGCCTCTCGACCATTTGATGAATACCCAAATGAAATCGCCTCAGAGGAAGATGCACCCAACAATGTCATGAGCCATCGCAATCGCACGTGATCCGCACATGGTTAAGGTTGTGTCTTCATTTGACATTTGGATCCATTGGGGGTTGGGAGTGTCCATTCCGTATCACCCGGCACATGACAATCTCCGTAAAAAAACTTAAAACTAAACGTCCGACCCAATATATATATATATATATTGTGTTTCGTCAAGCCCAAGTAGCGATCGGACCGTGAATGTAACGCCGATGATGGCAGAAAATCGCCATTACTTCTCTGGCGCGGAAAAAGAAAGAAAAGAAATTCATTTCTATGATTAGAGAAGATTACCCAATTGATCATAAATCTATCGTGCGAATGTCAATTCAGTCCTAAACATTTCGATTTTACCAATATAGTTATAACTCCCGTTAGAAGCCTTTATGCCAAATTCCAATATAGTCATTTAGACCAATTATCGATCGAAAACTGCTGACGTGTGTCTATCCACAAATATGTCAGCTTGCCATGTAGGACGACCGGTGGTGACCGGACGCCACGTAAGCGATTTCCGGCAGCAATTGGTTGGAAAGATTATGTTGGAATTTTCGTGCAAATGTTTAGGACCGAATTGACATCCGCACAATAAATATAGGATTGGTTTGAGTAATTTTCTCTTTTATCATCCCGTGTACAGGTCAAACAAATTCTAGGAAGACTTAATTTTCCTTATATATATATATATATATTGGGGGGGTATGAGACTGACGATTAGATGACAACTGGACAAGCTGGAGACTCCCCATGATGAGCTTTGTCTTTTCGGCCGTCTATGATAAGCTCGTGGATATACTCAATTCTTAATTTCATATGATCATACTGTCTGGCCTGCATTTTTATTATTGTTTTTTTTAAAAAGTCTATGTATGTATTTCCGCGTACAGCGAGGTCCGAGCTTTCGAGCCAATCGAAGATTTGCAATATAATACGTGCTCTTCGTGCAGGGCTACGCCACGCATAACCTCCAATTGGACATCGTGGACCGGCTCTAGGAGGAGCATGCGAACCGATGGAATTTATCACAGAGGAAAAAAAAAAAATACATTTATGGATCGATCGCACGAATGATATGACGTGATCGATTAGTCGCATTTGTTTACGTAATATGCGTTCCAAGATCAGGAATTCCAATATTGAAATACAACTTAAAATTGTTTCTTCCCATCGTTGTTGTCATCATCATCGGGATTCAAACATTCTCGACGACCCTCAGCCAGTGCGCCGTGTGCTTAAGTGGTTATGTAAATATATATCACGTTTGTACCGAGCGTATAAAATCTCGAAAAAGCAAAGGACGTATATAACATGGCATATGCCAGAATCGCTCTCAACGCCCGAAATTTGTGCGCGAAAGTCATTAAAGAGTATCATAAAAAAAGAGGATTTGCAAAAAATCCTCGCGTGATTTCGTGAGTTAAAAAAATCACGCGTCGGATGCTATGGAAGGCTCTTTTTCGTAAGTTATCACGCCGTACTCTTTTGACGAAAATTGGATCGTATTCAGAAACTTTCGATATTCACGATACGTCTCCGATCGGTACCCCTCATGAGGATGATATATTATTCGTCGTGGCAAAAAAGAAAAAAGGAAAAAAAAAAAGAAGGTAGGGGAAAGAGAGAGAGAGAGAGAGTGGGGCCCACCTGCCACCCCCCACTCTTCTTCTTCTGCACGAACATATTTATAAACCGGCGCTTCACTCACGTCACCAAATCTCTCCCGTTTTCCTTCCTTCCTCCCTCCCTCCTCGAGAGCACCTCGCAACCACCGTGCATCGCCGATCGCCGGCGGTACAGCCGCCGCGCAGCGGCTCCGGCGGCGCCAAGTAGATGATCGAAGCCCTGCCTCCACAATGTCCTCCCGCCGGAAGTCTCCGTCTTCAAGCCCGCCGGCGGCGGCGGCGGCGGCGGCTCGAGACCTCAAATCTCGGGTCATCTCCTGCCTCAACCGCCTCTCCGATCGCGACACGCTCGCCCTCGCCACCGCCGAGCTCGAGTCCATCGCCCTCGGCCTCACTAACGACGGCTTCTCCTCCTTCCTCAGCTGCATCCACAGCACCGACGACGCGTCCCGGTCGCCCGTCCGCCGCCAGTGCGTCAGCATCCTCGCCCTCCTCTCTCGCTCCCACGGGGACGCCCTGTCCCAGCACCTGCCGAAGATCGTCTCCATCATCACCCGCCGCCTCCGCGACGCCGACTCCGCCGTCAGGTCGGCCTGCGTCGCCGCCGCCGCCGCCGTGGCGGCGGAGATCACGACGCCCCCGTTCTCGTCGCTGATGAGGCCCCTGATGGAGACGCTCACGGCGGAGCAGGACGCGAACTCGCAGATCGGCGCGGCGATGTGCATCGCGGCGGCGGTGGGGGCGGCGCCGGAGCCGGAGGTGGAGGTGCTGAGGAGGGCGTTGCCGAGGGTCGCGAAGTTGTTGAAGAGCGAGGGCTTTAAGGCGAAGGCAGCTGCAATGGGGATGATAGGGAGCATCGTAGGTGTTAGTGGAGTGTTGAATAAGGGGATTTTGGATTGGCTGGTGCCGTGTGCGCTGGAGTTTTTGAGTAACGAGGATTGGAATGCGAGGAAGGCGGCAGCAGAGGCGCTGGGGAGAGTCGCCAACGTGGCGGAGAGGGAGCTGGTGGTGGAACACAAGGCTTCCTGCGTGAAGTGCTTGGAGAGTCGGAGATTCGACAAGGTATGGTTAAATTGTTTGGCTTCTCCGAGTTAGGAATGCGCATGTATATGAAGATTCGTGATGGAGATGAGACGATAAATTTGGGTTTGGGCTCTCATTTTCGAGAGCCGATCCGAGAATAACGCTCTAGAAAATCAAAGAGTTGGTTTATCCTGTACTTTTTTCTTTTTTGGTCGGAAGTTTATCCTGTATCTTAGAACCTGACTTTGACTCCGATTTTGCAGGTTAAAATTGTTCGGGAAACAATGAATCGCACTTTGGAGTCGTGGAAGGAGGTTGCAGATCTTTGCGAGGACGTCTCGGCCGTTTCCCACCCCCTGTCTGCTCCGTCCGGTAAAAATGATTAATCCTGCCGTTCATTCGACTGTTTTAGGGCATCTTATTGGGCAGAGAAAAAAAGAAGATGGGTTCTTTCAGTGACTAGTGTGGTAGATGGAGCTAATCATCGGGGACATGTGGCATCAGCGTGGGTCCCATTTTTTCTTGAATACTATTTTCTTGATCTATTAAGATCAGCTTAGCAACATGAGTTGTATCTCAGTTTTCAGATGGATCAGTCGGATACAATCAGTTCAATTTTATCTGCTATCACTTCATCGAGGCTTAACCTGCGTGATCATGAAATAGGGATTAGAGACTTGTGCGAATCATGTTTCATACTGTTCTGGAAAAATAATGTCCTACTTAAAACACAGTATTCTTGCTTCTCTTATTCGTCGCTCTTTCTAATTTGCAATGAATGGAGTAAGGTCTTTGGGTGAGAATTTAAACTGTTAACAACTTTAAATCGAATTCAAAAAGAAGATTATGTTGTGTACCCCGACATTGTTATGGCTTTGCCCCTTTGATTTTCTTACAGTCGAGCATTAACTTGCATGAGTTTTTATACTTCATTTTACTAATGGTTTTTTTGGGTTTCTTGTGTGCCCAGGTAGTGGCATCGCTGATTGCCTGCCTGCCTTGTCAAAAAGTTTGCAAGACATTAGCGTTACAACTCCTGAGCCAAAGAAACAGATCAACAGGTCGTCTCCGTCGAGTAGTCTGTCGTCTCTGTCCAAAAAGTTCACCAAAAAGGAAATACCCCTAAAGTACAGTGATAAAAGTTCTTCCATCTCATCTGCTTTGGATCAGGCGAGATCAACTGATTCGAAAGTTCAAAATACACAGCCACACTTAACCTCCTTCAAGTTGGATCACGAGCATGACAATACGATAACTGAGATCAAAGTTTTAGAAACAGGAGAGCGGGATGAGAAAGAAGACACCAAAGGAAAAGTGAGACGTGCTCTCTTCGGTAAGATTGCAGATGACAAAGTTCAGAAGTCTGTGGCTTCTAAATCTGGTTCTCGTGTGGTACCATTTGATGATCTAAAGGATTCAGATTTAAGTGCTGCAGTCAGAGACGAGGAAATGGAAGACTTATCATTGATCCGAAAACAACTTGCGCAAATTGAAAATCAGCAGTCCAGTCTGTTTGACCTTCTTCAGGTACATCACAGGCCCTGTGCATTATTCTGGTTAAAGTTCCTTAAGATTTTCTCTTTTCATGTCGAGTGCTGTATATGTAAATTCTAAGGCAAGACTATACTGTGAGATTCATTCATCATTTCATTGTTGAAACTATAGCCTATGCGCCACTTTCTCTGCTCGATGCGTTATTGTGATGTCATTTCTCTGCTTATAGCAATTGAATCATTGCCATGATGGAAAGTATAAGCTTTGGTTGCTGGTTACCTCTGTACTTCCATGAAACAAAAGTCAGCCTTTCTCTAGCTTGGGCCTTTCTTTTTTTATGTACCATAAATAATTATGGGTAAGGAAGCACTTGTCGACTTTTCCCATTGGTTGGTTTTGGAATCTCATTGTGAACATTGCAGTAGGTGGCTTCTGTTGCCGCCATCTTGTAGTTTATATTAATGTATATTTAACCCTGGACAAAGCACCTGACCTTCTTACTAAATTTCGTACTTTGTTAAATCCAGAATTATATTGGAAGGTCTCAAAGTGGGATGAACTCTCTGGAGACTCGTGTACATGGTCTAGAGATGGCAATAGAGGAGATTTCATATGATATAGCATTATCTACTGGAAGGTTTCCAAATGTGGAAAGTGCAGACTACACATGTTGTAAGTTGCCTGGCGCAGAATTCTTGAGTTCCAAATTCTGGAGGAGGGCAGATGGCCGGTGTTCAACTACAAGATTATCTTCTTCTGATGGTGTCCCATCGACAACTATGTTGCATGGCATTAGCAATAAAAGTGCTGATGCAGAAAATCATGAAGTAGGGAGTCAACGGGTACATAACCAATACAATGGATCATCTGTTGTAAATCAGGAAACGGATGTTCAAAGTAATTCCAGGGAAAGTTTGGAGTCATGTTCATACAAAACATCAAAGAGGATGGTCCTAAGCACCGAGAGAATGCAATTTCACATGGCCAGTGGGATCAATGGGTCTTCATCTGGTAGTTTTAGGGCACTGGGAAATCTACGCAGCAGGTAGACTTTTTGTGTTTCTTTCCTTTGTTTTTCTTTACCAGGTCTTTCCTTCATTCTAATAGAAATTTTTCTTGTTAAGATTGTCTCGACATCTTAAAATTCCCTTTGCATGTATGATCTTGTCTTAATGGGCTCAAAATCATCGTTAGCAAGTTTTAAATTTAAACTGTATTTTTGCTAAATTCCTATGCAAGTTTTGTGATCTCGCGTCGTCTCCTTTGTCAATATATGTTGAATAATCTACTATGATTTACAATCTGCAAGCTTGTGAGTTGTTACTTCAATCTGGTTCCATTATCAATTGTAAATATTTCCTCTGTTTCATTGTCAGGTTGTCTGCATAGTTTTTGGATGGACTGATCCATTTCAATGTTCATCATCACTGCTGAGAGACGACGATACTCAATCCTTAACGAATGACTGCATCACAAATGAGAAGCGCCGCAGGCTGACAATGGTTCTAGAAATAAGTATTGCCTATCATTTTGAAGTGACATGAAAGAGGCAACACCTAACTCTGAGGCTGCTCCCAGGATTAGGATGATTGGAATCAAGACAAACCACCTCGCAGGTGTAAGATTGACCACGTGAAAAAAGCAGCCTTTGAGTGTGCAGGATGAATGAGTTATTTCATTTACGGTTCATTCCAATATTAAGTAGAATCGATCTGCGCGGAATGCAATGCTTCATCTGTCTAGTTGCTCGCTGACATTATGGTAAGCGGATACCGCGATGAATTTAGTGCCAAGAAATAGATCGAGTTTTGCTGCATTTGTCATGTTTTTATGGACTAATGCGATATGCGACTGATACAACGTGATGGGATGCGCAGTATTTTGCTATTCGACAGCTCCACGGAGGTGTGTTAAGCCAACAAGGTCGACATGTGCTGGTGAGTAAAATTTTAGCTAAATGGTTTGGTAAATGTACTAGCGTGTTTAGCCAACGTTGGGCATGGCAGATGCTGGACCTCGCCATGTAGGATTTTGAAACGCTTCTGACCGGGACTACCAGGATTCTTGGGTCTACGGTTGAAGCTACACAGGGGCGTGGACTCTGGTATTATTTGAATAGTGGTTGTAACAGAGCAAAAATAAAAGAAAAAAATATGGCCTAAATTCACACAACAGTAATTAATGCGGCCGCACGTTCCGATTTAGCTGTGGAAAAGCTTGGGCAGCGGTATTAAAGTAGAGATCCATCACCAAGGCCATAAGTTGAGTAGTCTTCTAAAGGATGGAACGAACTAGATTGGCCTGGATCATAAGGGTTTTCTATCACCGGTCTTTCCAATTTTTCTTGAAATATGATGGGCTTGTTCTATAGCATAATTCGATATAGATAACCAAAATTTTAATTTATGGATGGAGTTGCCTTGAGACCTTGACTTCTAGAAGACCGATCAGTGCGATACATTGGAGACGATTTAAACTAGAGCGGCTGTTTGACCCAAAAATAAAAAAAACTACAGCGGCTGAGTATACTCATCAGCTTTCGTGCTCGACAATTGTGGCTGTCATTCCTCCGGCGAATTATCTGAACACTTTCTATTTGGGCTACTTTTAAGATACTTAAGTACAAAGCAGATGACAATCAGCTTCAATCTCGTGGAGGCATATGTTCTTAACTTCGAGATAAAAGCAAGCTCGCAATACAGCACGGGGTTGAAGAAGCCTAATTCAAAGGACGCACATGTTCCTCTTAGTTTGAGTCTGAGCCCAACTCGCACGTAGGTTAACCAATCTATGCGCCGAGGCCACGCTATGAGAGCGAAGCTCGCTCATCCGGCTAATTTCTTTGTCCCTTTCGATCCCATTCAGTGAAGATCTACCGATGCCTTTTCGTAATCACTGCGGTGGAATCAGCTTTTGTTTGTCGATCGGAAGAGCTCCACGGCAATTGGTCTTCCAAGTAGTCTGTCCGGGCCAAGGAGAACTTATCCCATTCACCTCGTGGGCTAGGAAACCAGCAGGCTATGGTCCGGAGAAGCGGCACAAACATCGGACGTATCCAAAACGTATTTTGCCCCTAATCTAGTTAAATTCCTTATCCCACTTCTTGTGGTAAATGGCCTCCACCTGTCGGTCATGAATCTTTTAGCGGACAAAGAAACTGATCGGTCCGTGACCGACAGAGTGGATCGGACGCGCAGGGGTTGGTGGGTAAGGTCTTTACTTAACTGCCTTTTTTCTGGTATAATTGGGTTTCCACCAACTCTTTCGATATTCTAACTAGTACATTTCATGCAATCCCCCGTCATTTCATGCAAAGATATGGCTGTGGAACTCAATAGCTGTCCAGATTTGCTGCGTCACAGGACAGAAGAACCATCGTGCCATTGCGGGAATTCGATTTCGAACAGTCAATTTTTGTCGCCAAACTTAATATTGCTGAAAATCTCGTGTTCCCGTTCCTCCACATGTCTTTACATTGGCGAGTCAAACATGAGTTATGTTACTACACGGCGAACCCACGTTGGGTGAATGACAAAAAGTCCCGTCGACTCGGCTTCATTGTATCGATTGACAAAGATGGGATCGCCGACGTGCCAAAACCCAACGCCACATCGCCGCTACTCCCTCGAGCCACTTATTCCATATAACTAATTAGAAAGATGGACGGAAGCAATCATACGCACGAGCTTTGTTTGCTGTCAACGTTTCCTCGCACCTTGGAAACACGACACGTGGAAATTCGGTGGGAACTTTTACTCTTACCTAAAAAAAACATGGGTCGGAATTTTGAACTGCCGTTTAGAAACATAAAGGATCTATGAACGCGAACATTGCTATGCGCGATTTCTTCTACAGAGGCCGACGCTCCGGCTCATCTTAGGGCACACGCTGTTTGGTTGATATAATTCAACAAGAAGACAGAGAGAGACAGCCAAATGCGCTGCTCACACGTTAATCTTAATTTCTTGTTCGCGATGTGAACGTAGATCGCGAACGTAGACCAGAACCTGAAATTGAATTGAAGAGGAGTGTTCTTGCACTCCCCGTCCTATTCGGGAAACGTATAAAAAAAGAAGTCTTATACCTATTACATTGATACCAATTCAGTCTCAAAACTTTTCAATTGAACCATTTAGTTCTAGACATTTTCATATTATTATCATTTCGGTCCATCCGGTCAATTTAGGCTATAAATCACTGACATGTACGTCGGCCCTCTTATGTGAATAGTTGGTGTTAACGTGGACAAATTTTAATATTTTTCTTGAATTATTTTTAAATTTTTTTTTAATAGTTTGGACCGGCGAGGTCGCCAGCCACAAGTAAGGGTCGGCGAGGGCGCTCGATGAGGGTTGGCAAGTTACCTCGCGGCCCACAATTTGGGGGAAAAAAAACAGAAAGGAATGAAAAAAAAGTAATAAAACTTCAGAAAAATTAAAAAAATAATTTAGAAAATTATCTACCTTAGTATTAGTAGTGCCACGTAGGATGGCTAGCGCCCGCGTTTGCAATTTTCAGCATAAATTTATTGGATGGACTGAATTAATATCAATGTGAAATTTTTTAAATTAAATTAAATAAATCAAAAAATTTAGAATTAAATTTATACTAATTAATAAGTTACGGACCTTTTAGGTACTTTTCGCCGTCCAATTCTGATAGAGAGAGGCCTTTTATTTGCCCCAGTGACAAATGCCAACGAACCGAGAAAATGTCACAGATCGAAATTAATGTTCCCCCAGCGGTGCATCCTGTGGAAGCCCACACACTCAACTAAACCCAAATGAATCCAGAATTAAAAAGAAAAAAAAAAGTAAAAAAAATAGCAGTCTCTCGTGCATCTTTTGAAAGTTGTCTCCCACTAGTTGTCCACAAGGAAGTAGAAAATTCCCAAAATGAAAGAACGCAATTTCTCAAATCCCATTTTATATTCACGTGTGACGTGATTTTTAAATTTTTAATTTATTTAATGTGATTCATAAATTTTTGGTACATATTCAATTTAATTCTTGAAATATTTAAAAATGTTGAATGTTGTCCTAAAGGATTAAATTGAATGTACATTAAAAGTTTAGGGATCATATTGAATAATTTAAAAGTTCAGGGGTCACGTTGCATATTAGGCTAAAGTTGAATGACTACATTTAATTAATTAAAAATTCATGGATCACATTACACATTTGGCTAAAATTCATTGACCAGTAATCGTTGTTGCTCTTTCTCAATGCTAAATTTTTGAAAAAAATTTCCTCACTGATGTGGTTCGTAGGGGTGATCGGTTCCAGGGTGGGTAGGGTCCAGACCTAGAACCTGGAACCTACCCTGTTATAACCGGTTCTCAATTTTTGGAACCTAGAACCTACCCTGTTTTCCCTAAACCCTGTTTTGGAACCTACCCGTTTTTCCGTCCTGGTTTCGGGCTACCCGATAACCTGTTTTTTTTTTTTTTCCTTTTTCGGTTTCAGAAATTTGAAGCAAAATAAACAATCACAAGCACTATCCAGCAATTGGCATGCTCCCACCAAACGCAGCATGTTTTCTCTTTTCTCTCAAATGCAGCAATCAGACCGACCAAACCGCCATGGATACCCTAGAGCTTACCCCCACCAAACGAACACACAGCTTGAACGATGGCCCAAAAAATCAAGAGAATACAGTCGCCCACCATCCCGAACACAACCCCCCACAAGCAAACAACAATCACCACAAAAACACAGCACCAAAACACATCGAACAAGAACTCGAAAATCGCAAGAATTGTACTACTCACAAGGAGCATTCCCTTCTTTCCTCTCAAATGCAGCACAATCAAACCGAAAAATTTTACAACGAGAATTATCAAAAATTTGTTTGAACCCCTAGTCCCTTTTCCCCCCTCCGTCCGAAAAATTTTACAACAAAAACCTCGTCACCTAACAAAAAAGTACCAAAAAAAATTCAATTGCGGACTCACCTTTCTCTCAATAGTTGCGTCGGAGTCGGCCACAACAAGGCGAGAGGCGACGAGAGGGGTTGCGTTCTTGCGAGCCGCGGCAACGAGAGGCAACGAGCTGGGTTGCGGGGACTGAGATAGCGATCAGCCGCGACGATGAGTTGGGTTGCGGCAAGAACGAGCAGCCGCGGCGATGAGCTGCGAGCGGCCATGGCGCGACGAGTGGCGAGCCGCGCAGCGACGAGCGCGGCGGCGTGGCGACGCAGCCATGCGCGACGAGCGGCGAGCGGCCCGCGGCGATGAGCGGCGAGCAGCCGCGGCGGCAGCAGCCAAGCCGCAGGCGCGGACGAGCGGCGAGCAGCCGCGGCGGCGAGCTATTGCGAGCGACCGATAAGGGCAAGAAGGAAGGGGAATCGCTCGCAAACCGGAAGAGAGTCAAGACTCGAGGCGAGAAGTGAGAGGCCGAGAAGTGAGAGTCTAATGTTAGGGTTTTTACTTTTTTACAAGAACTTAAAACCGGTTCTAAAAATCGGTCCGTGGGTTTTCACTTAGACCGGAACCGGACCGGTTTCAATCGGTTCCAAAATATAGAACCGGTTCCGGACGGTTCAAACGGAACCGGTTCCCGGACCTGTTTTCCGGGTGGGCCGGTCCGGTTTCCGGGTAAACCCGGTCCGGTTGCACACCCCTAGTGGTTCGTGCTGCACCATATAAGTCACACAAGCGCCACACTCATACGTTAGAACGGGACATCCCTAATCAATTTGTCTACGACAGAGCAATTTTACCCAAAAGCCTAATTGCAAACTTGTTTAAAAGAGCAATGCCATGTTTATTAAAATGAATTACTAAGTAACGTGATAGGATTTAATTGGATGCGGAATATGGACCCCTTGTTTTAAGGCTCTTTACAATCAGACTTGTCACTTAGTATACCAGCAGAGTAGATTAGTCTTAGTACACCTAGTATTACGCATTACTCTCATTAAAAAGTGCACGGACCATTTTAAATAATAAAAGACAAATAAACTATTCCGGATTTCGATCTAGACAAGATAGACATCAGGTGGCAAAACGAGAAAATTGCAAAGCCTTAATCTTAAGAGCACACGAGCTCTTTTCCAAATAAAGCTTTGCATGTTTTTCCACATCGCAATTTGGCCTCCGAAAATCTACTTGCTTCAATCATCAATTGCTAAAGAGCCTCGAACACTTCATTATTAGCCAGACAATAAAGATTGCCATAAAGTGGCTCGCTTTTCTTTTCCTGTTTTTTTGGGTCGAAAGGGTATGTACAAAGACGCATAAGGGGGGTGGTGATATGGCATTATCACTCCTTTTATCCTTGTGGGTCTTATTAATCGTCGGCTTATTTATGGCGGAAGATTGGCCCCGTTTCAATGACGTGATGGGGGAGTGGAAGTGAATGAAGCGATGTGCCACCCGGAAGACGAGGTGCTACCTACACATCCAACAAAGACGTCACAAGCAGAGGTTGCTCTCAAGCAAGAGAGAGAAACTCATTAGGAATACATCAAAATGTCACCCGTCCGTCCACACGAAACTTCGAGGATCACACCCCGCACCAGGCGCTTTTAACCAACGAGACCTAATGCCCCCCCCCCCCCCCTCCTCAATGTGTGTTTTTTTTTTATTACCACGAACGGCTTCGCGTGCTCGCCCGAGCTCCTTTGGACTCTCTTACGCTCCTTCCCTAAAACAGCCGCAAGCTGGCAGATTTCTTCAGACATGGGGGACCTGTGGAGACCGTTGCCTGAACATTGCAAAAGAAGCTAACATCATGTTTTATCTTTAAAACCAAGGGGTTTATGTTTTAATAAGTTAAGTAGAGATCTTTCACCGTCCTCCACGCAGCTTAAGAGTTACGTTTGAGGGTATTGATTAGAGAGAAACCATCCAGTGCGGATTCTTAAACATTCAAGTACCTCATGAAAATCTCATTTTCCACTAGTCAAACACTCCCTTGATTATTTTCTTTTTCCTCCTATGGTCTAATATTAATTATTGGGTTGTTTATGATTAATTAAACAACTAAGGTGGAATCTTTCTACCAAAATAAAAAAAAATTAATATATATATATATATAGAGGTGGAATCGATTCATATGCAGATACCAAAATAGACAAATAAATATTCTGAATTAAATTAATCAATGATATAATTTCTTTGAGCAGGGTCAATTAATGCCTGACAGGTCTCCGTCCCATCCCAATGATTCAATCGCATCCATAGGGCGAACCATTCTTAAAAAAGAATTAGTCCATGACACGGGCTCCTGAGAAAGCGCCAAACCGATCGATTAAATAAATAAGCAAATATATTATTCAATCACCCGAATATTCAATTCCTCGGAACGAATAATTCAGCGGTCAACAATAATTGACAGATAATAGCAGCAAGGAATTCAAAAAAACCAGAAGAAAAGAAGGGTAAGGAAAGAGCGGTGATGCCGGCGGATGGGATTGCAATTTAATTTATCAGAAACAGACGGCAAAATTTAAAAAAAAAAGATCTGAAATGCCGTTATTTTTTCAAATAAAGAGCTGAAGTAACAATATTAATTTAAAAAAAGAGCCTGAGCTAAGAGCATTTTCGTCATTTACTTTTTTCTTTTCTTTTCGTGAAAAAGGCTAAAAAATTTTAAAAAATAAAACGCAAAAAATACTAGGCGGGAGGGCCTATCGTCGCCAGCGACCCTCGCCAGTACTCAGGAGAGGGCTGCGACCCTCTTCGAGATCTGGGCGAGAGTCGCCAATCCTCACCCAGGTTGAGGTTAGGGCCATGGTCGATGCCCCACCGGCGATGAGGCGGCGGCCACAGCCCTCCTCCTCGGTTTTTTTTTTTTTTGTGTTTTTTTAATTTTAGCCTTTTTTTGTGGAAAGAAAAAAATAAAAAGGAAAGAAAATTAAAAAAAGAAAATGACAAAAATGCCTTTAACCAACCGATGAGATTAGGCTTTTATTTGAGATTGGCATTAGAAGTGATCGATTCTCAATCCGATCTAGTTTTAAGGTGGAATCGGGAATCGGGAACCGGACCGGGAGGACCAATTTCCAAAATTAGGAACTGGGGATCGGATCGGTTAGTCCTAGAACTGAAAACTGGATCGGACCACCAGTTTCAATCTAATGGAACCGGTCATTTTTTTTCTTATTACTTGATGCCGTCTCTTCATGTTATCCATTACTTGTTTAGAAAAAGATCGGAGTAAAAGGACCCTAACTATGTGCTTATATATCCTCTACGATAAACAAAAATTAAAAAGCAAATTTATAAATTGTAGATCGAAAACAATAAACTAAATCTACAAATCATCGAGAGATAAGGATTATTTGCAACCATGAATAATCAAACATCAATTATAATCCTCAAATTGAAAAGACGAACCAAAAAACATACTTCACTCAGGGTTTAGTTCACGTTTTAATTATTTTTTTGAAGAAATAAAAAAATATATATATACGGTTCGAGTCGGTCCGATTTCATGCACTCATTTGGAACTTTCCCTAAACAGCCCGATAGTTAAAATTGGACCGTAGGAGGTGAAAAAAAGAAAGGAATCAATTTCACAAAGCGAAACCGAACCCGACAAAGAGGTGAAACTGTGCCAGCAGCGCCGTCCCCCCCAATCCCCCAGTCCCCACAGTCCCCACCTCTTCCCCTTCCAAGCCTATCTGACACTGAGAGACGAAGAGGGTCTGTCTCTCTCTCTCTCTCTCTCTCTGTGTCCGCACAAGCCCAGAGAGATGTATACAAACCAGTTTCCGTAAGGGAGCCACATGTTCTCAGAAGCTGGCAGTGTCGTCCCCCCCACCGCTTATTCTCTTCGACACGCTTTTCCAATCGGTGTTCGCGTTTGGGGGCGACTATCTTATTGTTAGCCCACTACGGCCGCACCAGTCCTCTCCCACCCCCCCTCCCCTCACCCACCTTTTCCTTTTCCTTTTCCTTTTCCTTTTCTTTCTTCTTTTCTTCTTTTCTTATTTCCTTGGCAAAAGGAAAACGCAAAAGGCCGACAAGATTACCGGAAAGGAATCTGCGACGGAGGCCATTGAACCTCCACCTCACCCTTCCTCGCTCGTTACCTCGCTTCTTCGGGAAGCTTTTATCGAGAATAATTTGTTCCGTTCTTTGCCTCTCTGCCCTTTTGCTTTTGGTTCAAGATAAGCCCGAGTGTGCAATGACAGAGAGGCAGAGAGAGAGAGAGAGAGAGAGAGAGAGCTATCTTTCTTCCTTTCTTTCTGGCGAAACAAAGAGCCATTTTGTTCCTGTCAATCAGTCCATGGCGACTTTAATTGACTGCGAACCGCAAAAAATAAACATATCCCATTTCCCCCTTCCGTGGAAAAAGAGGTAAAAACTCTCCCTTTCTCTCTCTCTCTCTCTCTCTCTCTCTCTCTCTCGGGGACACGCATCATAGTCCGAGAACACGCATCAACGCAATCTCTACTGCCCTCGAGCAACAACTGCTGTCCGTCCGCCTCCAGATCTGCACATCCCCAGTCCAACCCGTACTACTGCTCCTCTTTCTTCTCCTTCTTTCTTTCTTTCGTTCTTCTTCCTCCTCGTTCTATCTCTGAAACCGTTCGGCTTTTGTTGCTGTCGTTGCCGATAGTTGTCATTCGTCGTTACAGAGCCGTTAGAGATGGAGTCGGAGCAGCGGCGGAGGCGGAAGCGCAGCGCCTCCGCCAAGCCTTACTCGAGCGGCTCCCAGCTGTTCTCCCTCAGATCCCTTGCCCTCTGCCTCTCCTTCCTCGTCTTCCTCCTCTTCCTGTCCTACTCCTCCTCCTCCGACCGCGGCCTCAGCGTCTCCGCCGCGTCCTTCCGCCCCGTCCTCAGCGCCTCCACCTTGTCGCTCCTGTCCTCTTCCGCCGGCAACTCCGTTCTCGACTCCCTCAAGCACCGCCCGCTCTCGTCGTCGTCGGCGCAGCCGAGGGTCAAGGATCGGGTTCTGTTCCCCGACCACGTGTTGCTCCTCGTGTCCGACGGAGTGATCCTCCTCCGCCGCCGCCGCGAGGACTTGGAGTGCGTGTACCACGCACCGGCTTCGAATGGTTCCGATCGGCACGCCGAGGCTGCGCTGTCCGTTGATGTTTACAATGAGCATAGGTCCATTGTCAGGTGTCCGCTACCGCCGGCGAATTTCTCAGCTGCCGAGGTGGATTTGCGCAGGCGCGGCGGCGGCGGCGCCGCTGCTCCGGCGGACGGTTGGGAACGAGCGCGGTCCAATCGGACGGCGGCGGCGGTCCGGGCGTGGGACAGGGTGGTGTATGGGGCCGAGCTGGACGGAGAGACTGCGGTGGTGTTTGTGAAGGGGCTGAATCTGAGGCCGCACCGGAGATCCAACCCGGCGCAATTCAGCTGCCACTTCGGGTGGGCCAAATGGGACAAGGACGAGACTTCCGTGCGGACGACGAGGGCGGTCTCGGCGGCTCAGGAGGTGATCAGGTGTCCGCTGCCACGGAGCATTCGGAGCAACCCGATCAAAGCTCAGGGGGTTCGGGTCACGATCGGGTTGCCCTCCAATTTCCACTCGCACGGCAGGTCCTCAGTTCACGTTCCCATGCCTTCTGTGGCCAGGATTTACAGTTCCAAGGGGACCAGCGAGGAAGCGGGGAGGAAGAAGATGACGACGAAGCACGAGCTCTGCGCTTGTACCATGGTTTGGAACCAAGCCGCGTCGTTGCGGGAGTGGATAATGTACCACGCCTGGCTCGGCATCGACCGCTGGTTCATCTACGACAACAACAGCGACGACGATATCAAGGAAGTGATCGGAGAGCTCAACTCACAGAACTACAATGTGAGCAGGCAGAGCTGGCCGTGGATAAAGACCCAAGAAGCCGGGTTCTCGCATTGCGTGCTGAGGGCGAGGGATGAGTGCAATTGGGTGGGATTCTTCGACGTCGACGAGTTCTTCTACTTCCCGTTCCCGAGCAACCCCCGCAGGGGCCTCGGCATCCCGGGCAAAGGCACGCTGAGGGCTATGGTCGCCAACTTCTCGAGCGCATCCTCGATAATCGCGGAGATAAGGACGGTTTGCCATAGCTTCGGGCCGTCGGGGTTGACCTCGCCGCCTCCGCGCGGAGTGACGGTCGGGTACACCTGTAGGCTGCAGCAGCCAGAGCGGCACAAGTCTATCGTGCGGCCCGACGCACTCGACCCGACCCTCCTCAATGAGGTGCACCATTTCAGGTTGAAGGAAGGGTTCAGGTACTTGAATGTGCCGGAGAGCATTGCGGTGATCAACCACTACAAGTACCAGGTGTGGGAGACGTTTAGGACCAAGTTCTTCCGGAGGGTCGCCACATACGTGGCGGATTGGCGGGAGGATCAGAACAAGGGCTCTAAGGACAGGGCGCCGGGCCTCGGGACCGAGGCCATCGAGCCTCACAACTGGAGATTGCAGTTCTGTGAGCTTTGGGACACGGGGTTGAGAGACTTTGTTTTGGCTAACTTTGCTCATCCTGCAACCAGTACGATGCTGCCATGGGAGAGGTCTTCACCTTCGAGGTGACACAAAGTACAGTCGAGTTCATATAGATTGTTCGCCTGCATTTGTAAAACAGAGAGACATTATACAGAGAACCAATTCTTTTTTTGTTGATTCTTTTTTTCGGGGAGCCCATCCTTTTGTATCTTACCTTTCTTTCTTTCTTCCTGCCACGAAGATGTACTGTTAGATCATAGAGATCTCACACAGATGTAATATTTTGACGACATGAATTGATTCTTTCGTTCTTATGCTTATTACTGGCTGAATTCTTGATCCGATTTTGTTGCTTCTTGCTGGGCATTGCCTGCACTGCAGCAGTATAGTCGAGTGAAGTTGATCAGAGGTTCAGGTTCAACACGTACACCTCTCTTTCCAATATTATAATCTCAGAGGCTATCACAAGAGATGGGAAATGCTGAACTCAATCCATGTCACCTGAAAACGTTGATCCATTACGTTTTCCCGAAGAAAATTCAAGATTAGGTGATGCTTGTTCTTTTGTTCTTTTGCTCAAGAGGAAGAAAGAAGTGGGCTCGCTCAGTTGTTCAAGTTGCAAAAGGAATCATGAAATTAAAATACAATGATGGGTACACTCGATGACAATTACACCATCCAATCAAGTTTTGACAAAAGAAAAAAAGGAACTTTCGGCCTGAAGACAAAACTCATAAATTTTAGGTTTTAATGTACGGCAACTGGTGAAGGTGGTAACTGCCACGAGAAAAGAGACGCCTCATCTTCAAATAAAGGTTTGACGGCATCTTGGCAAGTGGATCTAAAGCCTAAAAGACACTAATATGAGCCTGGACTTTCATATGAAAGAAGAGAATATGATGAAGATATGACCCCAGCCTTTGACAACGAGGCTTGATGAGGACAGAATTGACTAGCAAGAGTGACAATTTCTTCGTGCCAGTGACATGTGATAAGAAGAGCATCAGAAGCAACTACTTACTAGCATAAAAAAAGTATAAAGTCGAAACTTTATGCCTTGACTAATTGAATGATGAAGCTTTGGCAGCCTATATGTTGGCATTATATTGGAAGTCTCTCTTGCTCATCTTAGTAAAATTTTGTCACTTGATGTGGTAATTCAGCACTGAAAACAGTTAACAACCAGAATTGTGACATTAATCCAGATAAGTCATTGATGCCCGTAATTTGAAGAGACCTTTCTTCCAGTGTATACACGCAACCATTTGTTAGATCAGATCTTTACCTCCCACATTAAGGTCTGACGCAAAGTGGACTTATGTGTTTTAACTTCATGTATTGAAAACAGGAGTTAGAGTTCAGTCTCAATTTCACAAAGAATCTTACCAAGATCAACCAAAAACCAATGTTGCATACACAGGTAAACCATTCATTGGTGTCAGAGTCAAACTCTTTCCTGCATAAGTAGCGTGTTGTTATCTACATAATTTGCAAGTGCCGCATCCAGCTTCTCGCCAATATATGTTATCCATGTCTGAAAGTGGCAAAGTATAATCAGAGGGCAGAAATAGGACCACTACATTATTATGTCTAGATATACTTTAAAAAGGTTAAAATCTGAGGGTCCTTTGGTCTCAAAGCAAGAACATGAATGCAAACTTCAGGCCACTTCTGACCACATGAATTAACATTATGAATTGTTCGACCCTGTTGTTATCAATATAGGGTGTCAAAGAAAAGGATGAGGAGGTAAATAAGTTGTAATTAGACAACTAAGCTTGCCTGGGCAAACCCTCGAATTTAGGTTTGCCTAACCCAAGGTCATTTAATCTAACGAAAGGGCAGTCAAATGCTTCAACCAAAGACATTATATGGGGATAAACAGAAGGGCTCTGCTAACAGATAATTAAAAGCCTCGCTCCAGAAATAAATTGAATGAAGAGAAATATAGACTTCGAGTTCATGCAAATATATCACATGAGGCATCTTGTGCCAAAAAAAAAAAAAGATGAGAGATAACATTGTATTTCAAGGCCGCGTTAATGACTTGTGAATGTCCCAGATATATAAGTTACTAAAGCACAGATGAGCATTGGGCATCTGTTCATCATAAAACAGATGGACAAGAAATTTAGAGATGAAGTGGATACCTGATCAGACGTAGTGAAGCCCCTGATTGTGTCACCCCCAATTACTGCAATGCCTTTGTCTCCAAGTGGTTGCAAGATAACTGCCTGGTTAAGTCAAAATTTGATTCACTTTTAAATGCGACAAACAGACAATACTTTCGCTGTCTCCACTAGTCCAAATGCTAAAGTTTATCATGAGAAAGATATCCAAGAAGAAAAAATCATGTGCTCATATAAATCTATTACATTCACCTGAGTGTTTGTGGGAAGAAATGGCAGCTCAGACCTCCCAGGATAAAGAGATAGGTTGGCCAGGTAACTCTCTGAAAATTATAGTAAAACAACAGTCAGCTTTTTCTATGCATTCGATAGAATGCTTCTCTTATTGAAATTGTAGTAAAATAAGAGTCGGACAGCTGATTAAACAAGAACCGTCCCCGAAAATTACTTACGTGCTCTCGAATTTATAATGCCTTGATAAAGAGATCCTTGCATCAGTTTATTTGCATCCACGTCCTCTGCTTGACCATCATTAGCAGATGATTTAGCTCCCATGCCAATTTGCATGATGCAATGGCCATCATATATAATGGCCAAAGACCTGCAGCAGGTCACCGTAGACAGAGATTCCCACACCCTGAGAAGGAACAGTTTAAGACAAAACAGAAAATCTAATGAAGCAAGAGGAACAATTTATTACTCTACTCAGGTCACCATTAATCTCTTTCAAATCCAACTTCACAGCCCATTCATATATAAAACCAAACATGATGATATAGAGACAATGCTGGCATTTAAAAGACATTTGGCACAAGCAAAGTTCAAAGAAGCAGAAAATGCCACCCACAAGAATACTGCATGAAGGCACATACTCGTATGAGAAAATTATAATGATGATGAATGCAACTAATGAACCCAAATTAAGATGCCATCAGTTAGTGATGTGGCTCTTAAACTTGAGATCCCTAGGATAAGCTCTCGAACAATTTGGATCAGCAACTTCTTTCTTCAGAGAACCTGAAACTTTATTGGATCGGATGCAAAACCTATATACAACCACCGTCTCCTGCAGCATTTGGTCATGTAACACAAGTTCCCGATCGATCCTTTCTAACAACACCGCAACAGCAATGAGAAACCAGGCGGTTCATTCAGTTTATAGTTCAATTTTCCCTATTCACCTTCATACTTAGAGAGAGAGATTCTGCACGAGCACCAAGCAATTCGCTCGACATTCATACAAATTGAGAAAGCGCCACGCCACCCGAATGCAAGAACATCGAATGCATGATGTGGCAGTGATTGGTGAGAGTTCTAGTTAAAGTCAGCAATACAGGAAGCAACCATGGCAGGCCGATACCGAGAGAGAGCAGCTGGTAATGATAAATATAAGTTCACATCCACAAGAGCTATGGATATTCGACAAAGCACCAATGAGTAAAGTATTCACCACAACAACTCGGACACTACTGATTCAGGCAAGTCCGACCGTATTCTCCGACATTCCGCACCCAGCGGTTCCACCTGAAATCAAGCTCAAAACTCACTGCTAGATATGTAAATGTCACGTACATCACAGAAACGAACTGAATTAGCTGACGGAAAGAGGCGAGACAGCTTACAGAATGGAAGATAGCTCACCGCAGATACAGATTTCGGCCTAATAGACAGCCAGACGAGTCCGGCCAGTATATTGGTGACGGCGATCCCGAGCGTCAACAAATCCGCTCTCGACTGCGAGCTGCTCGCGTCGGCCACGGGGGCGATGCCGGAGACGGTGCGATTGAAGAGGACGGCCAACAGGGACGCGCCGCCGACGTAGATAGGCAAGCTCCGGACGAGACCGTCGTTGTTCGGGACCCAGTCGGCGATGAGATCCCTCTTCGGCTGCGGCCCTCTGTACTGTCCCTGCGCTCGAAAAAACGAACACACGAAGCACGTGAATAACGAGCGCGAATCGAAAGGATCCTGCGCACAAGCGAAGCGACGCGCAAGCGCCTCTACCGGCGGAGATGAGGAGGCCCTGACGGAGCGCGGGAAAGAAGGGCTCGGACGACGGCGGAGGAGGCGGAGGCGGAGGCGGAGGCGGAGGCGGCGGGGGTCGGAGGGAAGGAAGCCGCGGAGGAGAGCGGTTCCCGCTTCCATGGACAGGAAGGAAAGCTTCTTTTTTTCTTTTTTTTTGGTTGGAGCTGATGAAATATTTTTAAGAAAAGAAAAAAAAAGGGGGAATAAAAATAAAATGAAATGGATATGGGCTTTTGCAATCCATCGTGGGCCGAAATTGCTGGGCCTTTTCGTCAAGGAAAAGAACATATATGGCTGGAAGAACAGAACAGAACAGAACAGGGGAGCAGAGAGAATACAGAGGAAAACGCAAGGGAGAGATCCATGAAGAAGTCTTGGAAATCTACACTGCTCCTGTCGTGCCTCTCCTGCTTAATCTTCACGTCGCTTCACGTTCCGGCGTCTTCTCAGCGATCTCCAGGGCGACGCAGGTAAAGCCCCAAGCTCCGAATCCTTTTGGATCGTGTGTCTGCGTGGTTCGTACCCGTTTGTTGCAGGAGAATCGGGGGCAATTGAGTTGTGGAGTAGTTGCTGAAGACCCGATTTTTCTTTCCCTTTGTTCTGGTAGATCAATCGTCGAGGGTCGGGCTCTCCTCAGCTTCAGGGAGACTCCAAAGGGTAGCAACAGCTCCTTCGATTGCTCTCCTTCTGGGGCTTGCGTTCCCTGCCTTTATTCCGAGAAGGTTTCTCTCTTCTTCTTCTTTTTGGCATCATTTCCTTTGTTTTTTCAGTGAAAACGTTTCTTTTATGGTATGCTTTATGATTTCTTGTTGAATTGAAATAGCTTAATTTGTTCCTGAACTGCTATGATGTTAAGCCTTGCGAACAAAGTTCCCTGGATTGTGTTTATTGGTAAATTCGCGAGTGAGAATCGGGCGACGTCTTCTTATGTGTGCCTTGTTATTTTAGGTATGAATCTCAATAGTCACATTGCCTGAACTTATTTGGATTTCATCACCAAGTGTACGGACTCGTTAAATATTTCAAATCCGGGAAATTTATGGTTCTTGTGATATGTGGAGTCGAAGCTTTGAAAAGCGAATGAGTGTCTTGGGACACTCATTGACAAGACCCGTTGTACTTTGCTCTTGTTTTGGTTCTTGCTGATGGTGGAGTGCTGGCAAAATCTTTTTAGCATAAGGACCAGAATTAGTTGCCCAGGAAAGATAATGTAACAAGCCAAGGCGGTGTCTTGTGGAACCGTAGCTTCCATTCAGTCAGGTAGACGGCATGATACGCAACAACTAACAGTTTAAGTGTTCTGAAGGGTGTTAGACACCGAAATAGTAGATTTAAAAGTGTGGTATGGGTGCAAGAATGAGTAGAGAAAATAATCTTTGTTTAACATAAGAACCATTCATTCAATGAGTATTCGGTGCGCATAACAATCTGCCTTTATATCTAGTATGGTCTACTAAACGACTAATGAAGACACATATGATTAGCTACTTTCGATTTTGGTTTCTTCAATTGGTTGGCACCATAAAAATGCATACTTGTTACTTGCAGTGAAGAAAAAGGCTTAGGGTTGTTAAAACACCTATTTACAGATTAAACTGTCTACCTAGATTTGCTTGATGTCTTTTGGTTGAAATTTGACAGCACAGGACATTGGATTGCCATTGCCAATTTAGGAAATCAATGACTTGAAATTCCTTAAAGACTGGAAGAGACATTGATGGGTGTTCAATAGAGAAATGGCTATGGATCTTGGTGTCTATGCTTCGACTTATTAGTTAAAAGCAATTTGCTGCTTCAAAAATTGCATTTTTACTCCTTATCTGTGAAATCAATGATTAACCTTCAGCATACACCAACAGAGGTCCTTACAAGCTTCTTAAATTTTGGTTCTTCTTACTAAGCCAATATCCTATTCTTTTCATCCTGCTGTTATTAAAATTTCTGAGTGAGATTTTGCTTGTTTGATGGGGCGAAAGAGGTTTTTATGTAAGTGTATATGAGCTGCAGAAGCAGATTATGGAATTTGATGTAAGCACCTACTCTGTTTAAACATTCAGAACTTTCAGCAGGTCCAAGTTCTTTTTTTCAGATTCTGGCTGGTAAAATTGTCAAATCATTGCATATATAGTTTAGCTTCTTTTGGATTGAAAGGTCTTGGCAGTGAACCACTATTTTAAGAGTTGGATAAGGAGTAAGCTTCTGGTACCAGCACATCTCTAAAATTAATGAATTACCTTAGCTTGCCTCTTGTCTTTTGTCATTTCGTGGTAAAGTTCTAGCCATTTTTTAATCGGCATTATTTTCTTGTAGAAAGATGAAAAATACCACTGCAGTGAGACCGGCTATCGTATCCCTTTGAAATGTGTAAAGATAGGGAATAGTAAGGTTGTTAATGGCAAAACTCAAAAGGGCCGCCTGGTGATGGATACCTTTCATAAGAAAGTAAAGGGACTTGATATGCTCCATGAAGATGCTGAGCCTACTAAGTCGATGAGTGTCAGAGCTTTACTGGATGACTCATCCAAATCAAAAGATAGGCAGGGAGAATACATCACTTTCAGAAGCTGTATACCACCTTTAAACGAGGAGAAGTTGTCAGTCATTGGGTTTGAGGTACGTGATTTTGTGATCCTTTTCTCTTGTCATTATGGTTGCTTGTTGCACGTCTTCCGATAAATGTCATCTAAGAGAAATTCCTGCTCAAGCCTTTGCCATGTACATTGTGTTGCAACACGAAGTGTGATGAGTTTCCATTTTGACTTCCTGTAGCTGCAACCAAGTCCAATAAAGTTTGTTCTTCACATCGTACAAGTTGCATGTAATTCGTAATATCATACATCGGCATTACCACGTGATGCATTTTGAGGCTTAAAGGAGTTATAGATTGATTAGGTCCGAATTTTCAGGTGCATGTAAATGTGTAGCATTCGGTACATATGCATAAAAGAACATAAGAATAAGAGACAGGATTTTCTCGAGCAACCTTAGTTTTGATGCATATCCATTGTACTTCTTTGACAGGTCATCCTATTATGTCTATTACTCGCGAGTGGCTCATTTATCTACCTCAGGAAAAAACGGTCTGTCACTACAATGCCAGGGGTTGCAGCAGTAAGGATCGCAACGAATTCTAGATTTTAGGTCGCATAGTTGGTGGCATCTTGAGGCGTGTCTCATAAATAACTGACATGTCAAAAAGTGCATGCAAGTTGCTTGTGATTTTTGCATGCACTTGGAATCGCTGATGGCAGGTCTGTGCGTGATCTGCGAATGATTCAACTGGAACATATTGCAAGCGGTCATTCTTTCAGATTTCGTCCAGTCTTTTGAGAATGAGGAGACAGTAGGCTAGCCAAACAGAATGATATAATAGTGTTTTGGGGCAATTTTACGTTTTCTCTCCAGTTTTCTGTAAGTTCTTCCAGCTTCAGTTTCTACGGTGTAAACCCTTGTAAAGATGAGAAGTGCTCGATTGCATATGCATTTGTGGTTTGGACCTGGAATACTACAAACCTGACTTGTTGAGATGAATTTTTTGCTGCCTATTCTTTTTCAGAGTTGTAACTTCCGTTTCTCTTCATTCTTGTAACTCAAACCCTCACTTGGGTGGCGGATGGAGATATACGTTCGATGGGACAGATGTGATACGTCACATGGCATCACGGCTACAGGTTTTAATTTGATTTATCCGAAAAACACCGAGTGCGAAACCATTTCCTTCCGCTTGCTCAATTTCACGTTAAACATAACCATCTAGCATGCACCTGCTCAAGATCGCTGGTGTAAAGGAACAATTCACCGGACGGTTGGAAAACCCCTTTTAAACTGAACTGTCTAAAAGGAAGAAAGAATTGACCCAAGGCTTAGTGATTTTGTGATTCAATTTCATCAATCTCTCTCATGTAAACTAACGGATAAACCAGAATTCTAAGTAGTGATCAGAGTGGGGAACATCCCCTGAGCTGGATAAACTCATAGGGAGCTTGGAGGATGGCAATGACGATGAGTCATTACTCGCACACAAGAAGATTCGTCATCATTGAGAAAGGCATGCATCGGCTTCTGAAGATCAGTGGATGGTCTTCTAACGTTCTAACTGTAACCTGATATCAAACTCTATCTGCACTGCAAGTCCAGATATGGGAACTGGAGTAATCTAACAACCAGTGAATCATTAAATGCATTATAAAGGTAGATCTGCTCATCTGCTGTATAGATACATTCGGATCCACAAATTGCAAAAGATAGCAGCAGACGAAAAGTTTTGTTGAAGAGTCCCCGGCCATTAAAAAGCCATCTCCTCGGCCAATCTGGAGAACCCAAACCCGGAACTAGTAAAGAACACGTGTGGAAACCAAAAGACCTCAAAATTTTGCTTTCTACCTTCAAATCATCCAACACATCACAAGGTATTGTGTTATTGCTGCTTCCTACTCTCACTAAATATACAAGGAAATAGTAAGGCAATTAGTGCCTTCTCTCTGTTCTTCCTGAGTGTCAACAAGACAGCAGAGCATACTCAAAACGAAAGAATGAAATTGACAATCACCCTCAATTTAAATAACAAACTCCTCTTTCTTAAAACACATCTACACTGATATGGCTGTGAACAAGGATTACAAACTCGCAAATATGTTGAAATTACAAAAAATAATCAGGAGTCTTGCGTGTGGTGTCAGGTTCAATCTGACGTGGAGCAGGGTCAAACTGTAGGAAATTCTGGTCCATGTTCTCTCCAATTTCCAATATTGCAGCCATATTACCACATCGGTAACAGTAGTTCGGGGCGCTGAATACAGTCACCACATTCTTCTCCTGGATGGAAAAAAAAAATCCAAAACTTGAGATGAACATCCCTGGATTGTCCTGGATTTCAACAAAAAAGGATAGGAGTTGTGCCCTAGTTCACAGACCTGACACCAATTGTATCCTTCCATGACAAGCTGGTGGGCTCTTGATATCAGAGTGAGACCATTAGTATGATTGAAATTAGCCGCGATATCCTGTCCAAATGTATAGCCAGCACCTCGAGGAGATATGCCCCACCCGCAGCGATCGTCTGGATCAGACCACAAGAGGTCACACATTGGCCCTTCATGCGGAACCTACACTCCACGCACAACTGAGTCAGGTGGCGGCTCACCACATCAGATAAACCTTTTAAAATGCTCCACATTATTCAAAAAGAACACCTTGGACGTAGATTTTATGATGAGGACAGTAACTTCACGAAAATAAAAGATGTTTCTGCTGGTGCCCACAACCAACAGTCAAACCACCAATCAGAATGATAATTACTGTTTTGTATTTCGAAATCAGTCAGAAGTTAAGGAAAGTAACTCGGCAATTGCACTGACAAACTCCAAATTCCAGGCGCATAAGACCCTTGTCAGACTACAAGTCCAAAACAGTAGCTTCCTCTATTCTCTCAAACATGGGCATAAAAGAGAAGAATTGCAGGTTTATGCTGACGTAGGACAGTGGTCCAAAACATACCTCTTGTATGCGGTCCAAAGCTCGAATGTTATCTAAAGTATCCAAAGAAGGCGATAGACCTCCATGCAAACAAAAGATCTACAACACAAGAAGAAGCATGATCATTCAGAATCCACATTATTGATATATATTTTTTGCTTGTAGCATCAATGATAATGTTACAAAGTAATCTGGAGGTGTATCCAATACCTGACTCTCAATGAGGGCGGTGAGGGGAAGATAATCAAATAAATCAGTGAAGTACTTCCACACATTCGCATTTCCGTATTTTCTTAAACATTCATCATAGAAACCATACCTGAAATTGGCAATAAGAGATACATAAGAAAGAGAAATCAAAGGTTGAGTTGATTACAGCATGTTTTATATTTTTCCACTTTTCATATGTCACGGGAGTATGCTTCCTCTAAAATCAAATCATAGGAAAGTAACATCTATCTTGACCAATGAATATACCCAGACACAGCCATAAACTACTTAAGCCCTAAACATGTGACCGGTAATAAGTGTGATCGACCATATGAATCCCGTTATGCCATTGCTCTCGATTCTATATCAAGTCTTAATAGGCAAAGTTTAAGCATCAAGTACGAACCAAACACTTGATCATATTACAGTTGCCCACAATTTACTGGGCCACTTATTAACTATCATCCCACTGGGAAAAATGTCTTCAGAGTTTACGTTAAGCAATATACTTTTCTTTCTCAAAATAAGCACACATATTGATCAGGAAACACTATATGCAGAACGGTAAGCAGGTTACTATTCAAAAAGTCAACTTCCCTGTGCTTCTTTCGAGGCAAATGTTAAGTTCTTAATGTCATGATACAAAAGATGCACTCAAAACTACAGTCTTACACTTGAGTTATTTGCCGGCTCTCATGATTTCCTCTAAGGATTGTGATTCTATCTCTATAACGAACTTTCAGAGCAACTAAAAGAGTGACAGTCTCCACTGAGTAGTACCCTCGATCTGCATTAATGTAATCAACAGAATTAGATGATGCACTTTACAGCATTAATCCTGATGAGATAAAACATGAATTTGACCCCTTAAAAAATAATCTTACAAGTCTAAGAGAAAAACACTGACGATCAAGATCACTCAAGGCTACTGATTACCAAAAAAAAATCAACATACTCTAGAAAAACTTTCATGCTACTAAGCCCAAACCAATACCGTATTCTCTGCGTGTTTAAGAGTTCCTATTTTCTCTTGCTCCCCAAATTGACTTGTCGATCCCAAATATGCAATAGTTGACAAATTCAAGCCAGAAATTGCAAGGCAAAAAAATACTTTTATGACACATGGATATGAAAGAACACAGAAAAGAGAGAAAAAGGCGTTTAGAACATGTGAACGAGGGAGGTGGAGAGAGATTATTGGATCTTCGATGTGCTTTCATAATATGAAAAGACAGTTTGGAGTATCATTCTAGATTGTACATCATCCGGTACATAGGAAACCTTGGATATTACTCTAAGAGAGTCTTCTGTCTCGGTTTCCAGGGATCATTATCTATTGCTTCGCTGAACTGAGATGGTGCCAGTGCTTCTTGCAGTAGACCGAAGTAGACCAAAGCATCGATCGATAGAGGAACATCTTGTCCACTTGCTAACAGCTTCCCAAAAAAACGTCCACGATCATTCTCAAAGTGAGTAAAGTCTTTCAATGGAGATAACAAGTGCATCATTGATGCCACCAAATCGGTACTCTAAAGACATCTCGAGGGGGAACACGCAGAACTCCATAATTTCAAACCTAAGCCATGCCATTTCCATCACACGAGGAGCTTCATTTCATGCTACCACCATAAGCTCCGTGCACCTTAATCTAGTATTGGAATAGAAAACACTAAAAGCTCCAATAGTTTCAGCAAAAATCCCAAATACACAAAAATTAGCATGTCCGCCGAGGCTCCAAAGACACGAATTGCAATTCGCAACACAGCAACCTCGCCAATCCTAGCCGCAGATTCCACTTCATCGACGCAAAGAACTACCGAATTCGTTCCACATGGACAAAAATGGAAAGCCCGTCGACTACAACAAAGATCAAGCTGAAACTGACCTACATAATCGCCCATGAAGAGATAATTGGTGTCGGGCGCGTTGCCTCCTATCCTGAACAGCTCGATCAGATCGTAGAACTGGCCGTGGATGTCGCCGCAGACGGTGACGGGGCACTTCACCGGCTGGACGTTCCACTCCTCGACCAGGATCGCCCTCGCCTGATCGCAGAGCGTCTTGACCTCCGCCTCCGAGAGCGGCTTGCACTCCATCAGCTGCTCGATCTGACGGTCCAGATCCGCGTGCGACGGCATCGTTCAAGCGCTGGATCGCGGACGGACAGGAGGAGCCGGCGGCGGATCGATCGGTCGGTCGGTCGGTCGGGTGGGGGCTCGCTCGGCTCTCCGTCGTCGCGGTCAACCGAATCGAACAGAAGCTCCGTGGGGAGCTCCGAAACTAGGGTTTGATGACGGAGAGGAGGGAGACGGGCCAAAACGCGGCGTTCGAAGGTGCGAAGCGAGTTTTAAAAGATCTCTCCGAGGCTTCCAGCATTGCTCTCTATTTTACTCATTTTCTCTCCTGGTTATCATCCTCTCTTTTCACCTGTGATTGAAATAGTAACATATTTTTCTCCAGGAATTTTGTTAACCAACACATTTTTCAATACTGGTTAATGATAAAAAAAAAAGAAATTAAATTATATATCAAATGCCGAGCCACACATGTTTGGACCCGGCATATCCAAACAATTAATTTCGATACCACATGTTGGGATGCACGATAAAAACCTAATAATACCTTCATCGGGAAATTAGAGACATCATCGCCGTAGTCCGGCTATGTTCAATGGAAAACAAGGGACGCTGTTCGTAACCTTCGATTAGGGAGTCACTTCTGAAATTCTATCCCTTGAGATAATCATCAAATGTCGAGCCATGCATTTTTGGACCCAGCCTGTCCAAAAAATTAATTTCGACACCACATGTTGAAATGTGTACTAGAAACCCAATACCTTTAGCAGGGAAGCGCAAGTCTAACTTTATCAA